AAAATTTTTTTTGAATAAATGCCAAAAAAATCGACTTTTTACCCATAGTGCATTGTCCACTGCTCAATATGAAATTCACATTGTAAACAATCCACGCCCGTCACACACTCACACATAAACAAACCATGCACACACATAAACAAACTATTCCCACACGCGTACAAAAATTGCTGCTGACGAAAAGAATGAGCAATTAATTTTTGGAGTCAAACATTAATTGTTCATTCTTTTCGTTTGCAGCAAAACTCTTAAGCTATGATTGGAGAACCCTATCAAATTGAAACGCGCCGGCGTTCGCGTTCAAAGACGCCATTCCTGCACTCCAACTGCGACCAAGAGAATTGTGAGCGTGCCGGCACGGAGGGGCATATGAATCACAAGAAGAAGAAACAGTCTGTGGCGCCAAATGTGCAGTAAGTATACTTGAGCATATCAAAACATAAATTCCATTGATAGCCCCGAAAAGTTAGCCTGCTGCACAGCGAAATGAAGACCTGAAAGTGGAGAGTACTGGAGAGCTAAAAAGTAACGTTACGTTGGGCAATTGAAATAAACAAAGGCGCGTCATAAATACGAATAAACACAGATGCCAATGCCAGCCAAGCAGCACACGTTCAGCTTGCGTGCATTAGTGTATGTGAGCATGACGTCATCGCCTTGATATTCACACTCGGCGCGAAAATTGTAGTTTGGAATCCAGCAAAAAGAAATAAAATGCTTAGCATGCTAGAGATGCGCCAAAAATCACTCTCAGTAATTACAGTGAGGCAGTCACTATCTGCTGCGGTAGCAGTATTTAGGCAAATCGGGTGGCAACGCTGTCATTAAGCAGAGTAACCCAAATAATTAATTTGAAAGAAGTGTATTGCAAATATAATTTGTGAGAGCAAACATGTGTGCTACAGTGAGAGAGAAAGAGAAAGAGAGAGAGTGAGATATGTGAGATGACATCACTTCTCTTGCGAGTAAACACGATCAAGCGCGTGTGATTCATTTGCAAGCGATAGCCCAGTAAAACGCCTCAGCTCTGATGAGAGTGTCGTATACAGGGTCTTTGACTTGTCACACAGGGTGCGCTAGCGTCTCTGGCTGGAAGCATGTGTCTGTTTGCTTTTGCTTTTGGCGCGCGAATTGAATCAAACGTGCGCTTTGTGATTTTGCTTCGTTTCATTTCGTTGATGACGACATCAGCCGGGAGGCGGAGGCAATGTGACCATGAGAGCGTCGCTTTCATGTTAAGAGCCAAATGCCTGCTTGCTGGTTTTTGTTTTGTTTCGAGTCGTTGAAGGTCAGACGTGTTTCTATTTGTATAGCATTTATGAGCTACCATATTTTGGGGTTTGTTTTGATTCAGATTTTGCGTTTATTACGCATAGGGCTATCATATATCTGACCGTTTAACTTAACGTTTCCGCTGCTATCAATTAACTTGTTTGCTTATTTACAGAACTATTATGGAGGAACACGTGGTCGAAACAAAGATATCTAAGACAACTAGCAGCAGCAGCAGCAGCTCCACCATCACTAAAAGCGACGGCATTAAAACCACTCGCTCAAAGGCTGCGGCCCTGCTGACCTCGGACTATTCGAGCGAAGATGTAACGCCAGAGCCTAAACGCAAGGCTACCACGGTGACCACCATGATCACCAATACCGGCAAGCGTTTCAACGATGCCCTCAACAGCCTCACCGCAGTCACATCGACGCCGCGCAGCGAGTTGGAGACGGCACAGAATGTCTTGAATACCACACAGGAGTTGCAGCAACAGGAGCAGCGCAAAAGTCGTTCCAATGGCAACAGCAAGGCCAATTTAAGCGATGATCATTTGGCTTACATCGAGTACAGAAATGCGGGCGAGTACTGGAAGTAAGTTAGCTATGTAGTGGCATTTGGAGAGGCCTTGATAAAGCAGTCAGTTGCTTTTGTTCTCTCTGGAACCTGCCAGTCCAACTCTGATTTCGATTTTTATACCCTGAACCCATTGAAAATGGGAAATCAGGGTATAATGGTT